AAAAACATTTACTATCCTTGATTTTTAGATGATATTTCATCATTGATCTCTTGAGATTTCAAAGCCACTGGTGCTATAAGAAAATAAACCAGGTTAAAAATATCCAGTTAAATTTAGAGAAAAATATTAAAATTAGGATTTCTGTTTTTTTAAAGCTCTTTGACTCCATCGAAAAATGGGAAACTTTAACCTTTGTTTTTGGTTTTGAATAATGATAGTGTTGAACGCAAAGATATTCAAATGACCAAAACAATAGATTTCCATAATGAAAAGCTGCTGAAATGACCTGCATATAAATTAACTGAGAAGTAGAGCTTTTTTTTTGTAGCAAATCCATCTTTAGCTTGTTTTTTTTTTTTTGATGCAAACCAATTTGTTTTGCTCTTTAAGGTTGCAGTGGGAGTAACTTGGAGTCATTTTAGTATTTATGTCAGGTTTCAGTGTCTGTCAGCTTTTTTCCCCCCATTTTGCACTGAGGAAAAATCCCAGCTCTTTAGAGACAGAAAGTATGGATGATGAAGCAGTCTCATTTTTATTGTGGGTAGATTTGTAGACCTTGTAACAGCCACAAGAATTCCCTTTTTTAGTTTTTAAAGAAAACTGTCTGCTTGAACTGCAGCTCTGGCAATGTCACCTCCTTGCTAAGATCACCAGTTTGTGTACAAAGTGATGAAAACAGCAGATTTTCACATTATTTATTTTTACATCCTACTTTTTTTATCTGACGTTATTCCAAAATAATGAGCGAAATGTCTTCAACCACAGGGACATCATCTTGTTGTTTTAACCTTTTTTTGGATTATAAAAAACAAAAAAAGGGTGCCGTGTCTCTGCCCCCTTTTATGTACTGCTGTGTTGTAGTGGTAACATTGTGACCTTAACCTGAAGATTTGTACATTTACTCTCAGGAGATTACTCGAGCCAACAAAGGCTGGGCCTTGGACCGCATGGTGCTGCGTAACGAGGTAACCAGGTGGATGAAGGATTACATCAACAACCCGCCTGGAGAGGGGGTGTATGTGTACGGTCTCTAACTGGAGGGGGCCGGCTGGGACCGCCGCAACTGCAGACTTGTAGACTCAAAGCCCAAGGTTCTCTTTGAGATGATGCCGGTCATCAGTATGTACGCAGAGAATAATGGTAAGGTTTCTCATGAAAAAAAAAGCATGACATACAATATGAAAGGATAAGCTTTAATCCTGCCCAATTTAAGATGATCTTAAAGTCTCACTCCCCCTCAAGGTGTTTATCCCACAGAGTCACTGGATACATATATGATTTAAATGTCACAAAGACTTACATTTTATGCTTTTAGGAAATAAATTTCCCCCAGTTTGTGCAAGATAAGGCCAGAGTGTACTGATTTGCAGCAAGATATAGTATCACTTCTTTTACAATGATCTGCAGCCAGCCCTTTGCTCCTGGCTTTAACACTAACATCAGTTACCTAAACATCATTATGCAATGAGCAGAGCTGGAAGGACATAAAGCAAACTTTACACTGCCATGAAATGGTGTAAACTGATCAGAAGAGTAGGGATCACTATAAGGGTCATCATTTTGTTTTATTACATCACCATAATTAGGATGGATTTTGTGATGAACTTTCCTTGGGTGTAAATTTTAAAGATATGTCATGATACAACTATATACGGTAATTTATTTGGAATTGTGACACTTAAGGTCCAGATTTGAAAAATAAATAATGGAATTTGACTGGACCCTTCTAATACCCGACGATCAAGCTGTACCCCAGGTTTTATGTTTGGGATTGTTGTCTGATTGGATGTTGAGCCTCTGCTTCAATTCTAATGTTGCTGTTTTTAATGTTTTTTTTAGTCATTTTCTTCCATTGAACCTGAAAAGCTTCATCGTCTCTGCTAAAAACATTATAAAACAAAATTCCACAGCATGATGCCGCCATGACCGTGTTTTATCATAGGGATAGTGTGCTCAGGGTTATACTTAGTAAGCAAGTTTATACTGACAGAAGTATGCAGAATAAAGGGCCAATTGGAATGAAAATACTTAATTCAATTTACTAATTAGGAATATTCTGATAGGATTTATCTTGATAGGAATTCAACTGTATATCAAATGAGATGGGTAGATTACACTTATTATGAATCTGAAGAGCCTGCTTGTAGACACTTGTTTGGATCAAGTCTCTTTGACTGTGGCAAACTGAAGTGACTGCGTATGTGTGCCTGCATTTCTGCCTTTGGTGGCAAGACATAAACATGGGGATAAGACTGGTCTAAAGCCACATTAAACTCGTGGCTTAATTATGGAAAACAATAACACCTCTACCATTCATCCATCATTCTGGGCACTCAGAATCAACACCGTTGTTTGTTTTATTGTTTTACAGCACAGGCAGAAAACACAACTAGCTCTGTTGTCTATAGGGGGAGTTGGACAGCTCTACATTTTGGCGGTGCTCCTAATCTAAATCAAGCATGCCACATGTAAACATGTGCCATGATCAGATCATTTTGCATCCACACAAACGTCTAGTTCAAATTTATTTGAATTAAATCATAAAATGTTGTGCATGTTAACAGTTTAAATTAAAATTTTCTCCGCAGTGGTGAAAGTTCCTGGCCACAACACCTTTCTTCTTTTCTACACTGCCTGTGGAAAACGGCAGAGGGTTTCTCTTTTTACAATAGTTTCTCTTTTGCAGCCTTTCAGAAAGGCCAGATTTGACGAACACAGGTTTTATAGTTGTCATGGTAACAGAATATCCCACCAGTGATGTTGATGTCTGAATTACCATGGGGCCCTTGGCTGTCTCTCTGATTAATGCTCTCCTTAAACAGCCTGTCAGTTTAGTGGATGCCCATGTCTTCCCGTTCTTATCCTTGACCTGTCTAGTGTGTTCCTCTGTCTCTATGATGTTGCATGTTCTCTTAGATTCTATAGCCAAGGCCATCATATGACACAGCAAAACATTAAAGTCAATTCTGTTCACATTTATGTCTTAATAGAGACACTAACATTCTAGATCTCAGAAGAACAATTTAACAGGGTAATATTAAGTTATAGAAATTGTCCCCAACATGAAACATCTGAAAATATAGGAAACCTTTCAAGATATACATTCGATTATGATGTCATAAAAATGGCTGTTGTGGGAGGTTTGTTTTTTATCCTTTTTTTAATCAAGGTTAACACTTTCTGTGCCAAGAAACATCAGAAAACAGTAACCTAAAATGTTGAGTTATGTTTAAGTCTATGTCACCATCTGGACACATTTTAAGTGTTTCCCATTTTTCCCCTTTTCTACACCAGGATTTTCTTTTAATGCTTGCCTAAACTATGATCTGACAATTATGTTAGAGGTTTTAATGTATCCAATCACTGTATATGGAGCTAGTCGTACTTTTTTTCCCATGGAAACCTGTTGTCGTCAATGCCTTTGAGGTAAATGAAGCTGCAGGGGCACATGGAAGAGTTTGTTTACACTAGTTTCCATTTCTTACAAGGAGGCTGGTTCCCGACAGAGATCCATGTTATAAGAGGCTGAAAATGTGCAGATTACAAAAGTCCTGCCTTCTTGATCTCTCGACCATCACCTATAAAGACTCACTGAAGATTTGATTAACAGAAAACATCCAGTTATTTTTTCATAATGACTCGCAGACAAAGGGGTGCCAAATCTCTGCTAAAACAACTATGTTAAAAGAGGAACTATAACAATATTGTCCTAATTCAAGTTATTTTACCAATTACTCTGCATGAAAACAGATGTTGTTAAACACAGCTGGATGTCTCTGTGGCACCATGCCGATGCTAGTATTTCAGAAACTTGAAGTAGTACCACTTAAGATGTGTGATGAACAGGCAGTTTTACCAGCTGCTGCTCCTTTTGAGAACACTTTTTTTGCTTTATGTTGCAGGAGTGAGGGATCAACAGAACTATTCAGCTCCAATTTACAAGAAGCCAGTAAGAACAGACTTGAACTATATTGCAGCTGTGGATCTTAAAACCGTGTTTCCTCCAAAAAAAATGGATCCTCAGGGGTGTGGCTCTGCTCTGTGATGTTAAATAATTTCTTTATCTTTATTATAAATATAACACAATAAAATTGTTGCATTTGAAAATAAGACTCCGTCTCAATTGGATTAACCTGTGTAATTAATTTATGATGAAATGCTTTTAGGTATTAAGGAAAAAAATAACTTAATTTTTCCAGGGAATCTTGTAGGGGGGGCAGGAGGTGGATATACAGAAGGACATACTACGTCCAGAGAAGATTAAGTAAAATATAATGTTATTACAATTCTAATAATTCTAATTAAAAATTAGCTTTTTTCAATGGAAAGTAAATATATAAAGCTTAGATTTTAATTTTAAATAAATGTGTCATTTCATTGAACAAAAGATATAAAAAATGCATCCAGTAAATTAAACGAAACCATCTTCTTTGTTCCATAAAGCAAAAATAGGCAGCAAAAGCTGCTACTATAGTGATAGAACATTTGATTTTAATGTGAAGTGAGGACTCATCTGATTTTAAAATGCTTTTCATCTTTAGCTGGCAGTATGTCCTCTATACACAAAACACATTACATTACCCATGTTTATGGTAGTAGAGAGGGTAAAAATAAACATCTATAATTTGCTTACTCTTACTTTCTTCATTTGAGATTATATTGATATTGCTAACTGAATTAAAAATAGTACATCACCAGTTTATTTCCAGTTTACAGAATGATTTAGTTGCAACCTCGATGAAGTGTCCACTGTCAAGTGTTTCCCACAGTCAAGAAGCAGTGCAGGGAGGTTTCATTGACTTCAGCAGCTGTTTCAATTCCAGGTCTGATTAATGAAATATAATAGATCAATGAAGGATGCTGTGATTACTTTCATTATCATGTGTTACATCTAAATTCAGAACAATCCTGTCCAGTCAAGACTATTTGATTGGTAAATAACAGCATAGATGAGATGAAATACATAGAAATTTTATTTAAGATTTTTACAAAAACACACACAAAAAACTTTTTTTATACCTTTTTTTTTCTTACAAAACAGCCATATATACTAAATCTACATGTACATCAATTAGGCTTAAACTGATCAAAACTTTAATGAAAAAAAAAACTAAACTAAAAAATGATCCTCATGTTCTTCGAGTTTGTTTGGCTCAGATCTGTTCAAAAGAGGCCAGGTGCATAAAAGTCTCTGTATTAAAACAGAACAGCACCAGTAATTTCCAGTTTTTGTTCTAAAAGTACATTCGGGTTTGATCGTTATTTAAGAAAAAGGTTCATGCCAATTTAAGTTCTCAGCTCATCTAAATTTCTCTTTATATGTGAATGTGATCTACACTTAGGCGGGTTTGGGAAAATTCTACAACCTAATGGTAGCACATTCTCAAAAACTGAAAAGTAACAAGAAAAAAAAAATATGTTCTTTATTTTTCACAATCTGTTATGCACCTGGCCCCAAATTCCCATTTTCTCTTGCTGGAGTTTAGAAAAAGAGGGTTCAAAACATGCTCTTTTAGGTGTTCTGGACTGTCTGCAGTATACAGTACATCCAAGTCTTGTGGTTTAAGCAGAATAAGAATAAACCGTTGTAATCCATGTAGCCTTCTTTTGTTTCCGGGCAGCCTCCACCTTTGCAGAAATAGGCTTCTCATGTTTATTCTGTGTCTAATAATACTGGATGTGCTTTTAAAGTACTTTAAACACTTGCAGCAGAACGTAAACTTACATTCATAAGACCAGTGGCAAGCTGGTGTTTCAGTCTTTTAGAAATACTCCTCAAATGTTTCGTGAAATCAGGCCTTTTTCACACCCAATATTCTAAAACCAAAAAATACTGTGAAAGGTGAGACCTGCTGTGGTGCAACTGGCATCAAAGCAAGTGTTTCTGTTGTCCAGTCCCTGCAACAAGCATCACAGAGCTCCTAGTTTTCTCTTTAACCCTGAAAAATAACATCTTTGTCTTTTCACCATTAACATTCAAACTGTAACGTAATTGTTGTGTGTACTACCCAATAACTAAATATATGCTAGATCTGTGGCATAGTTACTCTGCAAGGTAATGGTAAGAATCTGTTTTCCGTCGTTATTGTTCAGATGTCTTCCTGAGTCACATTTGTTTTAACTACAGAAGCTCTACGTAGATGATAGTCCCTTAGTCCCCAATCAAAAACGTTTGGTTGGATCTGTGTAGATGTGCAGATACTCTGAACCTGTCTTACGGCATTATATTTCCTTGGGACAGTGAACGTGTCATCTCTGTGTGCACAAAGAAGGTCTTGAGCTCTCCTTTGCCTTTGACGTTGATGATCCCTCTACAAGAGCACATGTAACCCAGATTATGAAGGATGCGACTTGTCTCTTCCGTCACCTAAAGGGAGAACAACGAGTCAAGCCTGTTTTACTCATTTCTTTAAGAATGGATTATATCCCTGTGGATAAAAATACTTCATTAACAGAAACGTCCAGTTCCCTTTAACCATTCAGACAAGAAAGTTGTACATTAAATCATACAGTACCTTGCAAAAGTATTAATACCCGTAATCCGTTTCATAACATGCCATGTTACAACCACAAATAATGATTTTTGTCTTAATAAGATTTCATTTGGTAGACCATCAGAGTCCGACTCTGTAGTTAAAGCAAAAGAGATCTTACAATCTAAAAAAAAAAAAAAAGAATAGTGTAGTGTACATTTATGCTCTGGCAATTTGATTTAAAAGCTTTTAGAACCATTTTTTAGGGAATGTTTTCCTATTTTTGAACAATGATGTTTTTTAAAGCCTCAGATTCTCAGTTAATTGTAGGTCTGATCTTTGACTGGGCCAATCTAACATATAAATATGCTTTAATCTAAACAAACTGCATAAACAAAGGCACATTTCTTTCTTTTTAAATTACTGTTGTTTCCAAATAAATTATCTTATAAAGAGAAGAGAATATCTTTAAAAATGTACTTAAAAAACAAAATATCTGAAGAGCAACGGCAATTCTCAGACAAAAATTAGACTATGATGGAAAAAGTGTCAAGATCAAGCAGTTTTTCTGATCAACAATAAGAAAATTATGTCAAGGGGTTTTTAAACTAGTTAACTCTTTTTTTAAATAAAGGAGAACTAATAAGTGTCAGCTTACCAGGAAAATTACATTCATTTTACAAATTTCATATCTGTAAATAGCAGCAGCCATTTGCTTGAAGAAACCCAGGAATTGTGCGTCGCTGCTCAGGAGATGGTTGATTGAATGTGTACAAGCTGTGAGGTACAATATAGCTCTCTGTGGACTAAATGGTGGCATCAGCAAGATGACCATGTGATGGAAACACATTACACCTTATCAGTGCTCAGAGCAGATGCCAATATAAGATTGTTAGATGTCAGGGGATGCTAAAATGTCCCTTATTTCATAAATGATCATGCTGTAGCAAAAAGTATTTCTATTACTTTTAAGAGTGCCTTAAATGTATTTAACAAATAGTTAAACTTACCTATCAAGAGAAAGTCAATTAAAACGTACAATGTGACGTCTAGTATAAAAGTTATTTTTGAACTTGTCAAATATTTACTAATCATTGATTATTGACTTAGACTTAGACAACTTCTATTGTCATTTTGTATACACAGATAGTATATAAAACAAAATATTTAGTGCAGCTTTTCAGACACTAAAAGAAACATTTCTATTCCATAAAGTCCAGCAAATTCCAGCAGTGATCAAATGTAAACAGTGTGGGAAAAACACATGGTGAACAATAACACATTGATATACAAGTTCAGAGCATTATTATATATGGTTCAAATATGCACCATATATAATATTGTCAGTCCTTGTTATATAACTTTGGTCAAGATGGCCTGTGCCACCTTATCATTACTGCAGAAAAAAACAGCACTCCTCAAAAATGGCTCGGTTGAAATACTGAATTTTTAAATACTATTTGTTGAACATGTTCAAAACCAAGGAACTATATTAACTTGTGATTAATTTTGACCATAAAATGTTAGAATCACATCATGTGAGTTTTGATAAAAACAAAAGAAAAGCCATTTCATGTCACTAACCTGTATTTTCCCCAGGACTCCAGTGCTTTCCATTCTGCTGGCTACGTTTACCGTATTCCCCCAAATATCATACTGTGGTTTCTGAGCTCCGATGACTCCAGCGATCACTGGACCATGATTAATACCTGATCAAGTAAAACAGGTCAACAACGAAGCTTCATATTCATCTTAATTCAGCATATTGATGAAGAATCATGTTGAGAGACATAAATAAACAAATGATGCTTTACATTATACTACATATAAATAAAGTTAAATAAATATAATATCAAATACTTATTAAATATAGTTTATTTGTTGTATTATTGTTTGTATATGTTGTATTTCTTTGTAATTATTTGTTAAGGTAGGGTGTATTGTCTAGAAACACACATTTGGTCCTTTTTATTCTAAATCCCAGTACACAAGCCGTTTCACAAGTGCTCCTAACATTTGCAGCTAAGTGCAGCAGAGCCCTTAATCCCCAACACAATTAGACCCCCAGCTTGAGATTTTAATGCAATCTGAAGACAGTCCCCTGACTTGTGTGAAACAGAAAACACACATATGTGTAAAAGCTACATTGTCAGACACATAACCAGTGGTCTTGAAAACTCATGAAAAAAGAAAAGTATTCCTTCCTGATGGGGGTTATTAGGTCGAGTCTTGAAGCCACAGGGATGTAGAGTCATCCAGTCACACGCAAGCACACTGCTGAGTTAATGGAGCATCTCATGCTGAGACCTGCACAGCCATGTTAGAGGTTGCAAACTAACTCTTACAGCTTACAGGGAGCTGGGACATGCCTCTCTGATTCCCCACCAAGACCATGACTTTTTCAGACCAGTGGTGTTTCAGATATTGGTGTATGATTGTGGGGAACATTAATTATCTTGACAGGACAGCAGTTCAAAGCAAGTGAAAAGACATTTTACTGACATTTACCACTATGTGCAATAAAGCAAGAACAATAGCAAATTCCAAAATGAAACTGACTTCTTTAAACACATGTTGGGATTTAAGACTCAGCGCTTTTGATTGATGATGTGACCTCTAATCTATTACGACTAGAAAAGTTATGGCTGCAACTAACGATTATTTTGCTAATCGTTTAATCTGTTGATTATTTTTTCAATGAATTCAATAATAATTGGATAGCAACAGGTTGCTTAAAGAAGATTTTTTACATAATTAAACCAAATGAAAACTATAAATTTCCACATGAGGATAGAGCGTATTGCCAGAATAATAAGTGTTTTTTTTTTTGTTTTTTTTATCTTAAATGCAAAATATTTATATTTATTTCTTTACAATGTTGGTATAATAACTGCTCTAAATGGGTGGCTGTCAGCTAAAACAATGTTTTCATGTCTCTAGACTTGAGCTAATGATTAATTGATTACTAAGTTAGTTGAGGATTATTTCAATAATTGATTAATCAGGATTAATCCGATTTATTGTTTTCTATAACAAATTATGACTAAGTTGCTTTGAAGTTATCATCTCTTTTAGAAATTGAAACTAAGAATCTGTTCTAAAGGTTATTTAAGCAACTCACTTCTAAAAGGGAAACTCTCATTGCTAATATACTTTACATTCAATAACCACAGTAATATATATTTAGCTAATTTATTGTTTTTGTTAATCTAAATATCATCCAAAAGTCCTCCAAACGTTGTTGGAGCCTGCATAGCGCATTGACACATGCGGTGCTGTATATTAAGCAGAATAATCTGTTATACAGTATAACAATTATCTCTCTTGCCTTTTTACAGTGTCAATTGGGCTACGTTCACCAGATTAAGGAAGGTAAGAAAGCACAGAACAATCAGCCGTTACTATTGCTGCTGTAGAGAATTCTATGTGGAAGCCACGGTAATGACATACAAGTTGGATAAAATGCGACATGACTGTTCAGCCTGCGAATAATTTTTAAAATCAGATCAGATCTGATTTAGGACCACATATGCAAGCGGCTGGCTTTAATATTTTTAGGTGAAAAGATTGGAATTGAGGCAGTCAGATTGCCATGAAACAGTGTAATATGAGTCGCATCTGCCTGCTGTGTGCACATAGCTTTACCATCACAGGGTTCTCACCCCGATTTTCTAACAGCGTAATGTAGGGAGTAGATGGTTGGTTAGAACAGAAATCACTTTACACTATTCTGTATTCTTCTCTGCTCAACCCATTTTTTTTTTTACATTTTAGCCAACTTAGTGATCTCCAACTGTTACTGTATTTACCTTTTATAGTGGGAGGAGCCATTGTTATGTAATCATAATATGGAAGATATCAGACTGACCAATGTGACGTACTGAGCCACCTACAGTCACAGGGAACAGCTAGACTTATGCACAGACTGCATAATTACAATGTGCTGAAATATCCTTGTTCTGAAAAGTTGTTTATTTTGTCACGTTTTCTACCATAATACTGTGATAGGGTTTGAGGTTTTTTTTGTTTTTGTTTTTTTATGAGACTCACCAACTCTGAGTTTAAAGTCGTTGAATGAATGTTTGTTGATGACATCTAACTTTCCCACCAAAGCAAATGCAAACTCCACCATGGTTCCTAAGTGCATATACTGTCTGTCATGCTCCTGAAAGAGAGCAACAGCTATTTATTATACAGCATTTCAGGCATTTACCATTATAATAAGAAAAAAAGGCCAGTACAATAAGCCTACCAGGGTAGTGTACTCAGGAGCAGTTGATGTGTTAAGTCCAGTAGCAGCCATATAAGTACTGCCAATGGTCTTTATCTTCTCCACACCACTAAATTTAGGTTTGGAAAGCAGCTGTGGAGAAATAAAAAAATACTTGACCACAAAATATATATTATTAAATATATTTTAAAAAAACAAACCCTGAATAATGATATTATGAACATAATTGTCAGCAAGTCTGCCAGTTATGCTGATTACAATTCTGCATTCAAGAGGCAATGTTATGAAAGCTTTAAGACTGATGGCAATTTACCTCATCAAAGTCGGCAATGATTTCATTAAGAAGCCTGAGACACTCCAATCCTTCCTTGTTGACGTCAGATTCAGTGTAGAACTCTTTAAAGTCTGGGATAGAGGCAAACATGACACACACCACATCGTAGGACTGGTGGTAAAGATCCTGCAAGACAAAACACTAAATTCAGCTTGGAAAGATCTCAACATTTAACATCCCTTAGTTAAAAGTGCCGACAGACAGCTAAGGTCAGACATATCACCAAATATCACTTCTGTCTAAAATCCATGAGGCCATCAACTTTCATCCTGCTTAGCAGCAGACTCGTCATTCTAAAGTCATCTCATTACCTAAATTAAAATATGGATCCAATCTGACTTTTCACATCTTACAGTGTAAAAAGTGAACATGGTATAAAACAAGACTGACACTAATGACATGGAGGTGTTTTAAATTTA